TTTTACACATTGGTGTTTATAGTCTTTACTTTTTAACTCGTTAACAGTTAACAATTTAACATTGAGGTATATCAGCATTATCAGCAACAACATATTGTATCATGTGTAATAATCCATAGACCTGTGGTTATACYAGAGTATAAGGTCTATGGTAATAATCATGGTTTTAGATATACAGGTATATAATATATATAGGTATATCTTAAACCGTGGTAATAATATTAATAATAATAAGGTAGAAGTGGTATTAACCAATAACCATTGTAAAATATAACATTTGAATCTTGTTTGCATATCCCCACTTTTTCCTATATGTTAAATTCTCCAATCATTAGGCTTTGATTTATGCGACCAGTTGAGTGAGTGCCGAGTGGTGATTGGTGAATAACTTAACATCACAGAATAAAATTAACATATTATGGTAAAATTTTAAAAAGTGATGAGCGCCATGAGCCTACAAAAAAAATGCCATAGCCTATGGAGGTATAGATCCGATGTCAAACTGACAACTATTATGATTTATGATTGTTAAGCCACCGTAGTTTCCGTAGTTTCACACATCATAAATGGGTTTCATGCATTTATTTATTCTATATCTACGTCGGTGATAACATTCAAATTACCGCGTGAATTTAAATATGATAATCATTTTTTTTAAATATAATATACTACAACTGAATATCATAATTTTAGATTTTGTGCGGAGCGATGAATGTATCGAATTTATAATGATGTGTGTTTTATTTTTGAATCTGTCATCACCTTTAAGAGCAGTAAAAACGCTTTGATTTTCTTCAACAATATCTTTTCTGATAGAAAAATAAACTTAGTTGGTACATTCAGAAGTCATACGTCAACAATTTTCAAAACGGCAGAAAAAACAAACTAAAAATTAAGGCAATTTCGGTTTCCTAATACTTTAATTTTTTTTTTAAATGTTATTGCTTTGAATATTCAATACAAGACTTCAAGTCATGTTTTACAATTCAATAAAAAATTTTAAATTATATGTATATTATTTATATTATTAATAATTTAATGTTATGGACGATTTCATACAACTACACTATCAGCAAAATAAATGACTGTATGAATGTTCAGATACTAGAGTAATGCAGTAATAAAAATACTGTAATATATCCATTCTCTAAGGATTCTTTTATTGCCTTAATACAGAGGTATTTTTTAAATCAAACTTTCAAGTATTCTGAATACTGTAATTAAATTGATTTATCCAGAGTAAAAACACCCATGTCTGTTAACAGTCATCTAAGTAGTAATACTCATTAGATTATAAGCCATTTTAATTCACTATGTAAAGAAGAACTTTTTTGTTCCTAAAATTAACTAGTCGATTTATAAACTTGTTAAACTATCTTAACAAATTTAATAATAATAAAATGCATTATACACATGATAGATAATTGAAAAAAAATAGTACAAAATAAAATTAACAATAAAGTAAAGATACTTATGAAACTCAAATAAATTGATTGCACTTAAGTGTCACATGTTTATTTTCAATCTAAAATTATTTCATGATTAAAATCAGCTCTGGTAATCTAAAGCTATAAAGGAAAGACAATTATTCTTCACACAGAGAATATAATATCCAATAAAATACCAATTTATCATCGCAAACATACAATTTAACTTAGGTTTTAAATTTTAGATTCCTACAAACAGTTTTATAAATCGGTGATTATAACAAGCAAAAATTAATGTATTGCAATTGATTATAAAATATAAATAGTATAAAAGATCAATATTTATTACAAGATAGATAATCTATTACATGAAGTTTCTGAATTTTTAATTTTTTTTTTATCTATCCTTCAAAAAGTGTCAATGTTTTAGAACTTTTATATTATATATTATTCAATTGTTTAAATATCAACAATAAAAGTAAACAAAGTATGCACAACAATTACATTATAATTGCACTTATTTAGTACTTTCATGTTTCTTCAAAATTTTATGAACTTATAGGTTGTTCATTTGTTTGCTGTACATCTGTATGAATTGAAATAATATGACGCCCAGGAATCATTACTAAACCTAAAAGTCGAGATTCTCCAGTATCTAAATCTAAACATATATTGATTATTTTTCATTCATGAAAATTTTCAACATCATAAATAATGTAATTTGTTTTATTAAGAAACTCACCTTTTTCGTTAAAGTATTCATAACATGTACTAAGTATTATATGAGCATCTTTATCAGTACAAACAAATGTTCCTACCAAAATGCGACCATCTATTAAATTAATTTTCATTTGCTGATTCAACCAAGACATAAGTTTTCGCCTTCCCTCAGTCTGCACTCGTTCTGGCTAAAATAAAAATATGTACAACCATATAATAAACAATGACTTAAATATTGACATTCTTTTATAAGAATATAATACATACTTCTATTTATCAATAATATTATACAATTCATTATAGTTCAGTTTTCAGTATTTAAATAATAATAAACATATGGACATAGGTAGTTGGAACAATCGATTTTTACGTT